TCTTGTTTCCTGGGGATGGAACCCAGGTATGTGCTGCTTACAAAAGGATCAAGAAGAACCACCACAGCTGAAAAGAAAGGACAGTAGCTGTCAGGCCAACAAGATGTAAACTCTAGACAGCTGCCATGGAGCTGAGGCAGGACTCACACCAGCAAGTTCAGCTCGCCCTGGCCATGTCACCGAGTGTCCTCTCTGCCCCATGCACCCCCTGCAATACAAGCATTTCCTTTCTGGGGTGGTGCCCTGCCCCAGTGAGCAGAGAATTGGAGGTGGTCCTAGCCTAGGGGCAAGCTCAAGTGGGTTCACGCCTGCAGCAGGGGCCACCTCCCGACCACCTTCCGACCACCTCCTGACCACCTCCTGACCACCTCCCTCCATCCTTAGTCCTCATCACAGGGGGCATCGTGGCCACTGCCGGGCGCTTCACACAGTGGTACTTCGGTGCCTACTCTATGTATCCTTCTACGGGGAACCAGGAAGGTGTGGTGATACAACTGTTTCCAAGGCTAGCACTTCACAGTTTACAGAGTGCTACACCTATCCTGTTTGGCCACAGCCTCAGGAAGCAGGAGCAGTTTTAGAAGCCAAGGCCCAGGGCTGGGGAGCCACTTGCCAAAGGCCACAGAGTGGGTTTCAGGCAAACGGGGAGCTGAGGCCCACGATCCCAAGGTTTGGATTGGAGTCCACTGCCTCCTCCCTACCCTGCTGGCCAGAACCTGAGGACAGATGCGGTGGGAGAGCGGGTATGGGAGAGCCGGCTGTGGGAGAGCGGGTATGGGACAGTGGCTGTGCCTCTGTTTACCTATCAGCAGAAGTGCACACTAGCTTAGGCCAAGCGTGGCTTTCCTTAACCACTCCACAGCGCTGCGGGTGTACTTATCTGTCTGCTGGAGTACCCCCGGGGAAAGAGGAAAAAGGGCTCCACCATGGAGCGGTGGTAAGTCACTCCCACCTGAGTGGCCTGGGGCTGGCTTGTCGGGAGCTTCCAGCCCAAGGCCTGCCCAGCTGCTGGGCCCATTGTGACCAGGAGGAAAAGGGTCTTCCCTGGAAGGGGATGGATAGGGAGTGACAAGGGGTCCTGAGTGTGACTGGTGCTGACCCCATGACCTGTCTTCCCTCTAGTGGACAGAAGTACTTGACGACTGTGGTGAAGCTGTTTGGGCCCCTCACGAGAAATTACTACGTCCGGGCTGTCCTCCACTTCCTGTGAGTCCCCCTGCCAATGCCCTGGGTAACAGGAGGCTAAAAGGAGACGCCCTGTGGGTCTGTAGCCTGGGCAGGAGGTCAGGGCTCAGCCAAGCCCCTTCTTCATTGATGTTTGTCCAGACTCTAGAGAAGCCCAGCTTTTAGAGAGGGCGGAAGGTCCCAAACCTGCATCTGTCATCTGTGGTGTGGTGCACACCCAACCTAGCAGCTGAGCTCCAGTGTGGTGCTGGGTGGTTCTCCGTGCTCTGTTACACCTGCTGTTTCTCTTGCTAAGCCTGGACTGGGACACACCCGTGTGGCCACACCCCTTTTCCCCAGCACAGTAGCTGGGGCTTGAATCAAAGGACACATCACCGCAGAGGACAGTTCATACCAAACCTCGGCTGGACCTGGGCAGAGGCAGCCTCTGCTCATTCTGGGGCCCTGGGGATGAAGTCTCCCTCTGAGACCTTGTGGCCAAGAGCTCCAGATCCCCTCTGACTGTTGCCTGCTGGCTTCCTCCTGTTACCCCTCAAGGTTGTCCGTGCCTGCAGGCTTCCTGCTGGCCACTATCCTGGGGACCGTCTGCTTGGTCATTGCCAGTGTGATCTACCTGCTGGTAAGTGGCTGCCCTCTATAGTAAGCTCCTTCACCCCCAGTTCCCATGTCCTTGGTGCTCTCGGCCCTCACGACAGCGTACTGGCTCACATCAGCTTTGGTTAACGCACCTCTGCTCTATACGGAGCACTTCCCTGTTGAAGCTGAATTGTAGCTCTGTGGAGCAGGTGGATAAACTCAGAGAGGCAGTGTGGCTGGCCCGGGTCCTACCTTGCTCGTCGAAGTCTGCCTGTGTTTGGGGCCGTGTCAGGTGCACTTCCCAGAGGCTCATGACACAGAAGCATCTACCTGTCTTATCTGTCTATCTGTCTATCTATCTATCTATCTATCTATCTATCTATCTATCTATCTATCTATCATCTATCTATCTATCTATCTATCTCTCTATCTATCTTTCTATCTATCTATCATCTACCTACCTATCTGTTTATTTTTAGAGAAAGAGAGGGTTTCATGTAGCCCAGGCTGGCCTCAAACTTGCTATGTAGTTGAAGAGGCCTTGAACTCGTGCTCCTCTTACCCCCACTTCCTAATGCTGGATGACAGGTGTGTGCTACTTCACCTAGCTTAGCGTGTGTTCCTTAAAAGTCTTTTTTCATTTTCTGAGATCATATAGATAGCTTTCTGATTCTCTTCTGCAGCTCCATTCTTGTCTTCTGTATAGAATGTTCTAGCTTATTGGTTAGAAGGTGTAGCCACAGGTGTCTGAAGGTGTTTGAAGGTGTAGCCACAGGTGTTTGATGGTGCAGCCACAGGTGTTTGAAGGTGCAGCCACAGGTGTTTGAAGGTATAGCCACAGGTGTTTGAAGGTATAGCCACAGGTGTTTGAAGGTGTAGCCACAGGTGTTTGAAGGTGTAGCCACAGGTGTTTGAAGGTGTAGCCACAGGTGTCTGTGTGCTGCAGAGTTTCCATCTCTCAAGCATTGTGGGATACTAAATTTTTTTATTTATGGTTTTTGTTTTTGTTTTGTTTTGTTTTGTTTTTTGAGACAGGATTTCTTTGTGTAGCCCTGTCTGTCCTGGAACTTGCTCTGTAGACCAGGCTGGCCTCGAACTTAGAGAGATCTGCCTGCCTCTGCCTCCCGAATACTAGGATCAAAGGCATGCGCCACCACTGCCCTGTGGGATACTAAATTTAAATGCACATTCCCAGATACATTGAGCCAGCTGCTGTGGAAGTGCATGTGGGGTGGGGCATGGCAGCACTGTTTCCAGCAAGTACTCTGCTTGCATTCTTTAACACCCAGCCCTACATGCTTCCTACAGAGTGCTGGACACCCTTGGGGAGGCCTTAGTGCAGATGGGTATCCCTTGGAGAGGACCTGGGAGCTGTGTGGATCATGGAATTTGTACCTGGAAGTGTTTCTGGGAGTGTTATAGAAGTCCAGGGGCTCTATGCCCCCTCCTCTGCAGGGCCCTCCTGGAACAGCCACATAGCTTGGGTTTGGTGTCAGGCAGTCCCAGATCCTGACTGTGTGGCCTTGGGCCAGTCAATTAATGTAAGCCATTCCCACCCTGCTTAGGGATTAAGACCCAGGTCCGCTTGGAGTCCATCGTGACAGTAAGCAGCTTGAAGCATACATAACATAGTCCCTCTCTGCCCCTCAGGCAGCCATCCGGGGTGAGCAATGGACCCCCATTGAGCCCAAACCCAAGGAGCGGCCACAGGTTGGAGGCACCATCAAGCAGCCACCCACCAACCCCCCACCCCGGCCACCAGCGGAGGTCCGCAAGAAGCCAAGTGTAGAGGAGGAGGAGGCAGCTACGGCTGGAGGCCCCCAGGTCAACCCAATTCCAGTGACAGACGAGGTTGTGTGACCTGCGAGGGCTGTCTGCAGCTCCCGCTTCAGGTTTCCTGGAGTTGCTGCCGGGGGTGGGGTGGGGTGGTGGTGATGCCCACTGTAATAAACATAGTGACTAGCTTGTGTGGACACGTGGTTCTTCCTGTGAGGCTGGGGGAGGGGCTGTGGTCGGCACTAGATCTGTCATGTGCTCGGTCCTGTCTGGCAACCTGAAGGCCTGACAACTGCCCCGTGGACCCTGGGTGGGCTCATGCTTACAAGTGGGACCCTGAGTCTAGTCCAGGTCTTCCCATAGTGGAAGCAACTGGCTCCCAGTCCCCTTCACCAAAGGTATCCAAGGGGTCCAGAGTACATGCTGCTGTCCTAGTGGCTTCTGGCTCTAGGCTGGAGTCTAGGTCTCCAGTTTGGCCGCACAGCCCTGGGTCTCTACTACGGAGAGGCCTGGCAGGGTCACACCGGAAAGGCCTGTTGTGGCAATGCCTGCCTGCCTGTCTTGATGCAGAGGAGTGTTCCTGGGGATTGACTTCCGGCAGAGATGCTGTCCCCAAATGGTCAAAGTAATAAAGAATGGAGAGCACGATGTGACCTTGAGGAAAAATCTATCGCCTGCTTAGGGTGGCAGCTGCCTCCTGTAGAAAGGTGGAGACCCAAGCTAATGGCTGTTCGTGTTGTGTTGACACCCCTCTCCACCCCAGCAGCACCTTCTCAACATGCACTCCTTAGGTAAGGAGTTTGGGGCTTCAGTAGCCTCTGAGCACCCACTGGGTGGACAGGACCAGGAGGGAAGAAAAGTGGACTTGCAGGAATAATTAAAAGGAAGCACTAAACTCTGTCCATTTAATAACAGTTAAAATAAATAATTGTTTAAAAACAGCTGGAAGGACCGCATCAAGCAGAACCAGGGCTCTGGGGCGACAAAGAGCCAGCTCCTCATCTCCCTGCCTGTCACTGTGGCTAGAGGTTCAAGGAGAGGCCCACCCCACCCTCTCTTTTGAGACAGTTTCATTATGCAGCCTTGGCTTTCCTGAAACTCACTGTGTAGACCAGGCTGTCTGAGAACTTGAGGCCTCTGCGGAGGGCTGGGACTCCAGATGTGCTTTATACCACGCCCAGCTCTCCCCTTTGGTAACAGGGTAAGCTAACACTGGAGAGCCACTGGGAGTGATCCTTCTAGACATGGGGATGCCTGACCTCCCCAGTCCTGAGACCAGCAGCTTGCATCCGGGCACCGGTCAGGGATCACTGGGCAAGGGCTGGGTGTAGCCTCGGCTGCTCTTTTGAGTCAATAAATAAGCAATAAATACATATAAATAGAAGGCGTCCTCTGAGGGGATGCCCGGACTGTCTGGCCTGGAAGGAGCCCGGTGTACCGCGGTGGGGCCGTGGCAGAAGTCCTCACTGTGCAGACCTGGGAAGAACACAGGTACAACCGACAGGCACTCGGATGAACTCAGTGTGGAAGGTGAAGGATCCTGGGGTAGGGTCCGCTGTACCGTCCTGGGAGCAGGGCTGTCGCCGCAGTACCAGCAGGCTCTGCAGCAGCTGCACAGAGTTCAGGGCGGCTGTCTCACGGCCGGTCTTGGCGTTGATGCAGCCACGACACAAGCATTCCGCCACCGCCAACTTCTGTGGGTAGCGGTTCTTGTCGGTGTCGATGCTGTGGGGACAGGAGCAGTGAGAATACTCACTCTGGCCCTATCTAGAACTCGTCTGAGCTTTCACAAGCAGCATGGTGGGCACAGCATCCCTCCCTGGCCCACTTGGAGCTCCGCCCTCTCGTGGCTGCATGGCTTGCTCTGGAATGGGCAATCTGAGAGCTCAGGATTCCAACGCTACCGACAAAGGTGCAGGCACCAAGACGGCTGGCATTCAGTTGGTGCTCAATAAACGATGTTGCCTACATTTAACCCATGGCCTCTGAGAACACAGAAGCAGGGACTTTAATGGGGGGCCCTGGTCTCACTAGGCTCAAGCTACAGCTTTTCAGGGGAATGTGTTTTTAGAGGGTGGGGTAGGCATGCCCATTGAACAGACGAGGACCTAAGGCTCCAGAGTAGGAATGCAGTCACCCTACCACCCCACCAGTGGGGACCCCATCAACCTCACCGATATCTCCATGGTGAGATGGAGCGCTGGTGGGTGTCAGCTTCCAGTACATCCTCTGGTCGCAGCACAGGGCACTGTGTTCCAGCTAGAGGTCTTTCATACTGTCTCCTATGGCCCGTGGCCTCCAAAGTGGACACCAGGGCCACAGGGAGGGCCTGCTCCCACCTGGCACTTCGAGTTAGCAGGTGTGGGGGAGCCTGGCCATGAGACAGTTCCTCAGCAGAGTAGCACCTCAGGGTCCCATGGCTTCGGGGTCTCCCCCGGAATGAGAGATCTTGGTGGGTGATCCCAGTAGGCAACCAGGCTAGAAGCAGGAGATGCTGGGGAGCAGGCAGGTGTATGGTTAGAGGTAGCCCAGAGAACACCCCACTTCCTCCAAAGCTTGCCGGCTCTCACTGAAAAGATGGAGTTTAGACTTCCTTCTGAAGGTGGGGAAAGAGGCTTAGCCGAAAGGCATCCCAGTGCACCCATGCTCAGACAGAAGGCCCCAACATCCACCCTTCTGGGATAGGCTGTCATTATGAGGCTGGGCAAGGTGCCAGGCTCACCATCACAGTGGCAATGACAGTGGCCATGGCAGCAGATGTGGAGCAGCCTCACACCTGGCGACGGTCCCAGCGCTGCACCTGGCGGAGACTGGCTGTGTGCGTTTTTATACCTGGGACCACACCTGGGGAAAATCCGACACTGCTTCCTCCTCTGGGTCTGTCCCTTTGCATCAGAGTTGTCGTCCAGGTAGGTCCTGAGAACAGCTGCTGGGCCCTGCCCTGCCACGCCCACCCCCGTCACAGATCCTTAGGAGCCCCTTGGAGACAACCTCTACCCAAAGGGACCTTCCCAGTGGAATGCCCGTGAAAAGCCAGGGACCCTGCCTGGGGGGACATTCTGGAAGGAGAAACTGGGGATTTCGGCCGAACTGCTTTCAGCAGCTTGCCTGCCGCATTGATTTGTGTCAGTTTTGCTATTTGAGCTCACTGACTCTGCGGTTGGGACTGGGGTTCAGTCTCTGGACCTGTGGATGGACACTGAGGTTGTGCTTCTTGCCCAAGGTGGTCATAATGTAACCCCCCTGAGTAGTCAGGAGAGATGGTAGCTAGGGATGGATGTCCTTAGGTTTTAGCGAGGGTTCTACAGGTTTTTAATTTTTAAAAAACTTTGAAGTGGGTGAGTGTCTTGTCTGCATGTGTGCCTGGTGCCCATGGAGGACAGAAGAGGGCCTTGGACCTCCTGGAACTGGAGTTACGGGTGGTTGTAAGCCATCAAGTAGGTGCTGGGAACAGAACCTGGGTCTTCTGCAAGATCAGGCAGTGCTCTTAACTGCTGAGTCTTTTTATTCAAGGTAAAAATCCTGGGGCGGGGAAGGTAAGCCTGCTGGAAATGAGTGCCGTTATTGAAGGAAGCTTGTTCGAGCCTGGCCACCTGAGGTGCCCCTCCCTGACTGAATCCCATATAGCACAGCTGGCAAGGGTGGGCTGGGTACTGCGGGTGCTTTTATCTGAAAAGGAGGACAAGTGTGAGCCAGATCTTGGGATGTTTTGAATGCCTAAGGTTTGGATGTCATTCTGGGAAGGAAGGCCCCTTGGGGTTCTGGCTACTTCCAAAGCAGAAGGGCCTGTCTGTCCTGGTTTTTGCGAGAGTCTAGAATGTCCAGCTGTGGGCAGGTCGAGGGAGTGGAGCCACAGATCCTTTTTTTCAGCCTCCACACTTAGAAGCAGCATCAACCCGAGGGCCGGGGCTGTGGCTCAGCCTCAGAGCTGGGGCAGCACATCAGAGTGCCCTGTGAGTGACATCCCAAAGGGATGAAGGGACAGCTCTGCTCACTGACTTGAAGGGCCATCATGGGGTCAGTTGAGTCACCGGAGGCTGACTGTTGCTGTCACCAGATTCACCGAGCACCAGGCTGCTGGCCTGTTCCCAGGGCCTCTCAGAATTTGGTGTGGGCATTCCCAGCCCCTCCCCCCACATAGAACAATGGCAGAAGCGGGCTGAGACTGGCTAAGTGCCCCAAGAAGCCCCTTCTGAAATGTCCTCAAGGAGCCTGAAGCTGGGGCTGAGGTGTTTTGTGCAAAGCCCAGCCATAGGCCATCCCTCGCCTGGCCTGCTGCCCTCCTTTTTCTCCCTGGCACATCCATATGCCCACCAACATGCATGTAAACACCCACATATCAGCTGTAGCTGCAGGGCTCCAGGTCCTTGGAGAAGATCCTGGTGGACATAGGTGGGATTTTCCAGGCCACGATTTTTCTGCCTAACCAATGGGCACCCTGACATGGTTCCCATGGCCTTTCTGCATTGTGAGTCTGTGAGTCACAAGACACAGGTGGGAAGGAGGTAGATTTCAGGTGAGGGAGAGTTGGGCCAGCTACATCCTGGAAAGAGAGGGCCAGGTCAGTAGATTCCAGCCTCTGCTTGGGTTGAGTCTTTCTGTATACAATGTCCTGAGAAGAGCAGAAGGAGAGCAAGGAGAGAGAGAGAGAGAGGAGAGAGAGAGAGAGGAGAGAGAGGAGAAAGAGGAGAGAGAGAGAGAGAAAGGAGAGAGAGAGGGGAGAGAGAGGAGATAAAGAGAGGGAGAGAGAAAGGAGAGAGAGGAGAGAGAGAAAGGGGGGGGGAGAGAGAATCAGAAATGGGGGGAAAGAAACATCAGAAGAAAGGCCCACTTCCAGTGTCCCACTCTAGACCAGCCATCTGCCCCTCCAGTGTTACCTCTCCCAGAGAGGAGCCCAGAGGGGCCCCATGACTCCTTAAGGAAAGGCCTCTGTCAAGGCAGTACCAGTGGGAGGGCGTCCACTGACGGCCTCACCTTCTACCTCTCTTCCATCTTACCTCAGGCCCAGGAGAAGACAGGAACATCAACAGTGGCTTTGGAGACATGTTCAACTAAGGCTCTGTTTACACTCTTCAAGCTCCAGCTTACCCCACTTCCCAGGCAGGGAAACTGAGGCCCAGGCTGGCAGCAATCTACCCCAGGCTGTATAGCAAATGTGTTGGCAGAGCTGGGTTTTAGCCATGCTGGGATCAGCCTGCTCGGTGTCTGGTGTACTTAAGCACAGTCCCTACTGTCTCCTGTTTCCACTTGGGCTTTACTGGCGCAGAGGGATCCTGAAGACAGGGAGGACACTGGCATGACTGGGTGGAGCCCAGGGTCTCAAGAGGCAAGAGGCCCATGTGCCTGCCGGGTACTAGCCTGGGACTTCATGGGGGCTAAGCCGGCCCAGCAGTTACTCTCGATGAGCTGTTCCACTTCCTCTGCCAGGTCCTAAGGCTGGGATCTGTGAACCTTGCTATGACCATTTTCCAAACGGAACTCAGAAGAGTTGACCGGGCCCCCTGCCTTGGCTTACAGCAGCTCCTTGCTGGTCCTGTGGCCTCACACTTGTGGCTGGCAGCTATCCTGTGCCCAGCTAATCCCATGCACAGATTCAATCCATTCTGCCCAGCCCTTGAAATACAGGACACTCCTGGGCCAGCGTGGCACCAGCATTCTGGCCTCTGAGCTCCCACGTTCCATGGGAGTACTGAGATGGCAGCAGGACGCTAGTCCAGCTTGGTCCCAGACTATGTCCTGGAACCTTTGGTCTCAGTACCCACTCAAAGCCTGTTTTGAATTTCATTTTAACCACTGGTGGCTGGGTGGGCAGTCTGAGGGATCTGAACACAGCCCTCCTGGCAGACACTGCGTAGGGCTGGATGAGGATATAGAGTGGGATGTGGGGGCCAGAATGCATGCAAGTGTTGGAGGCAGAAGGTAGGTAGCCTTGCTCCTGAGGTTCATTTGTTGTTGTTTTTTCAAATATGTACAATACTGTATGGAGGTCGACCAGTTAAGAAAGGAAGGGAAAAAAAAATAACAAAGAACAGATCAAGAAGTCAACCAGCCTCCCGTTCGTTGCCTTTGTCTTTATTTGTCTATCTATCCCAGGTTAGGCAAGACTGGAAAAGCACCCAGAAGGAATGATGCTGAGCAGCCGCCAGTCCCGGCTGGGCAGGCCTGCCTGCCCACACCATGCTTCAGTGGCCTCTACACAGATCCTGCCCTGGCTGTGTGGGTCAGGCAAGAGCAGGAGGCCTGGAGATCTCAGGTTTCTCTGAGGGGTCACAGGCGGGGGTTGCTGTTGGTCCATTTAGAGTTGCTAGGTGAGGCTGCAGCTCTCCTGGACCTGGGGTCCAGTCAATAGCAAGACTCAGCCTGGCTCAGTAGCAAGGCTACTGGGAATCTTTACACTGGACTATCCTGGGTGAAGATCAGAGCTCGGGTTACTGAGATAGCTGGTAGAGAGCTTGCCTTGCTAAGATGAAGGATCAGAGTTCAATCCTCAGAATCCATGTAAAATGCTACTTGTGCTGGGGGCAGCGGGGGGTGGGGTGGGGGAGGTGGACAGGTAGATCCTAAGGACTTAAGAGACCAGCCAGTCCAGTCTAACTGGTGAGCTCCAGGTCAATGAGACCCTGTCTCAGAAAGAGATGGAAGGCATTACTGAGAAAAGACATCTGAGGTTTCCTCTGGCCTCCTTCAGGCTTGGGGGCTTTGGAGCATGGTACTTCCTGGAAGGTGGTGATAGAACAAGATGGAAGCACCATAGACCAGGAACATTTGCCTGGGAAGACATTGTGGTCTTGGCCTCGCTGGAGCTGTCTGCACTGGGCAGGCCTTATTGAAGTGTTCTTATGGGGAGTAGCGAACACCATGGAGGACACCGAGTGTCCCAGTCTTAACTAGGCTTTGCATATCCTGGACCTGAATACATGCCTGGGTCAGGGCCAGGTGATACATTCAAATCAAGAGTGACAAGTGGCTTTATGGGCTGGGGGCAGCCTAGCCAGGGCTCACTGCAGGGAGGTAGCTACCAACTCATTCCAAGAAGTCAGCCACAAGAACTGGGCTTATCTTTGTTCAACCACAGGATGGAAAAACTAAGGTTTAACACTCCAGGGGCCGAAGACTCAAGCAGTCTGTGCCTGCTGGCTCCTGTGAGTGACAGACATCAACTGCTCCAGGGCTGGGGTCTCTGCTGGAGCGCTTGGTCCATTTTGAGCTAAGCATGGGTGCCCAGTGGGGAGGCAGCCCAGGCCCGTGCAGACATCACCAGGACCAGAAACTGCTTATCAAAATATTTTATTTTAGGAGATTGCTCAAAAAAGACTCTCCACATTGGACAGACACCCCAACAATACCCTTGGCCTTATTTTATTTTTTTTTTGTCTTTTCTGTTTTTTCCTTTTTAATCAACTAAAACAATTTGATGCTTAAAATAAAAGACAGGAAATGTTTCCCAATCAGACTTTAGGCAAGAATATATATATATATACTTCTGATCCGGGGGAGGGGAGGGATGGTTCTGCCTGTAGTCCAGGAAATATTCTGCTTTCCTGTTCCCAGAAAGGAGACTCTGCTGGAAACACGCAGCCCAGGAGGCCAGCTGGAAGAAGTGAGGACGGACGCAGAAGAGTGTGAGCCCAGCCCTGCGTGCCTAAAGCTCTTAAGTTATAGAGCTGGTGCTCCCTGTCTCAGTGCTGCCCTGTCCGTCCGTCCGTCCATCTGTCTGTCTGTCTGTCCGTGGAGACTCTATTCTGGAAGGAGCTGGTTCAGTCTGGTGGAGAGGTTGGGATTCAGCGTCATCTTCATCTTATATGTGGCTTCTTTTCCAGCTGAGAAACTTTTTTTTCTTTTTTAATTTTTAAAAAGAATCACAGCCAAAATAAGACATTAACTGGAAAATCCAAAATGGCTGCGCTTACCCTAATTTTTTTATAAAAACATTTAAGAGTCTACTCCAGGGCAGTGAGCTGGGCTCACTACACTTTCCCAGGGATCTTGGCCCGCTTGCGAGCGATGGCATCCTCCACAGCCTTGAGCTGTTTAAGGAGTTCCTCCCGCCGCGACAACGTGCTGGCTTTCCCTGACTTGGTGCCTGCAGTGGCAGTGTCGGTGGCTTTGCCGGGCACGCTGGTGACCTTGCTGGAGCTCTTAGACTGGGGTGACAGTGGACGCTTCCTGTAGGATTGAGAAAATGGGAGGGGTGATGAGAACGAGCGCCCAGGGCTCCCCACTTCCTCCGTAGGGACAGAAGCAGGGTCTGGGCGAGCCCACAGCCTCTCCTAGTCCCCCACTATACGGCCGCCCTGAGACTCAGTGCCCCTTGTCTAGGGCTCTTTGGTAAGGTGGACTGAGCAGCATGCTCAGGTTGAGCCTGAGGGCTCTGCAGAGGAGTGGGCTGGGACTGCTGTCTGTTGTTCTTCCACAGCCTCGTGTCTCCCACATTGCTAAAGCCAACCGCCTATCCTGGATGAGCAGGGACTTACCTGTCGGCGGGGGCAGCAGGGGCTTTAGCGTTTTGGCTTCTCTGCCTCTCTGGCTTTGGGGAGCCCATTCTTCCCCCTGATTTCCGGTCCCGAGAACCTGGCCAACAGGGGAGAGAGTGAAACCACTGTTCTGTACTTGAGGCCACCAGAGGACCAAGTGTCAAGGTGGCCAAGTGTGGTGTGCTATGATCCTAGCACTGGGAAGTAGAGGAAGGAGGATCAGGAACTATCCTCGGTTACATAGTGAGTTTAAGGTCAGCCCAGGCTACCACGAGGCCCACTCAAAAAGTCAAAGTGTCAGGATGGCTGGCACACTTCTTTTATAAAAAAAAAAAAAAAAAAAAAAAACCAGGGAAGCAGACAAGGCAAGCGCTGCCTCAGAAAGCAGAGCTCAGGAAGCTGTGATGCATGCAGGCCTAGAGCTGGGCCTAGTTGTTGCAGTTTTATTTTTTTGGCGGGGTTTGGGGGTAAGGGGGTATTTCTCTGTGTAGCTCTGGCTGTCCTGGAACTCACTTTGTAGACCAGGCTGGCCTCCAATTCAGAGATCCACATGCCTCTGCCTCTGACTGTTGGGATTAAAGGTATGTGCTTACATCACTGCACCACTGGATCCCGTTTCATGGAGTACATTTTCTTTCTTTTTATTTTGCGTGCATTGGTGTTTTGCCTGCATGTATGTCTGTTGGATTCTGGAGTTATAGACAGTTGTGAGTTGCCATGTGGGCAGTGGGAATTGAACTTGGATCCTCTGGAAGAGCAGTCAGTGCTCTTAACCCTGAGTCATCTCTCCGGTTTCCTGGAGTACACTTTTTTTTTTTTAGTTTTTTTTTGAGACAAGGTTTCTCTGTGTAGTTTTGGTGCCTGTCCTGGATCTTGCTCTGTAGACCAGGCTGGCCTTGAATTCAAAGAGTGAGTGCCTCTCAAGTGTTGGAATTAAAGGCGTGTGCCCCCACTACCTGGCCGGAGTACACTTTCTAATCTACACCTTCTTCCTCAGCACACAGGTCTGACAATATGAGCAGAACCTGACAGTTCACAACTGGAAGCCAACTCCAGAGTGGAACACTCTATTCTACCAGTGGGAGACTGGCCTCAGGCTTGGGGCTAGGCAGCACAGAGTGGAAGGCAGGGTCTAAGCATGAATCAAGGCAGGTGACCCAGTGGCCAAGGCTCTGACTCTGGGGAAAATAGTCCCTTCAGGGTACAAAGCCTTAGGGTCCTGGCCCAGCAACCTGCCTGAAATGAGCCCCAGAACCCCAGCTTGCAGCAGCCAGCTTCAGCTTCAGGGAGGAAACATGGATTTTTGCTCTTCCCATCAAAGATGGGATGCCCCCATCTTTCCTGCTGGGCTTGAGGTAGAGTGTCCCGGGAGATCTGGGGGGGGGGGGGGGCGGGGGGGGGGCTTCCAAGGTTAAATAATGACTCAGAGACACTGTGCCCTTCTCACATCCCAATGAGTTTAAGGTGTGCAGAGGCACAATTGATCAGTCTGGAGTGAGGGCTTCTCTGACTTTGGATGTTGGGTATGCAGGCTCATTTTTATGTCAACTTGACACAAACTAGAACCATCTGAGAGGGAACTTCAACTGAGAAAATGCCGAAGATCTGGCTGTAGGTAAGTCTGTGGGGCATTTACTTAATGCATAATTGATGTAGGAGGGCCCAGCTTATTATAGTGGTGCTACCCCTGGGCTGGTGGTCCTGGGTGCTATTAAGGAAGCAAGTTGAGCAAGCCAGTAAGCAGCACCCCTCCATGGCCACTGCATCGGCTCCTGCTCACAAGGTTACTGACTTCCTTCCATGATGAACAGCAATGTACAAGCCAAATAAACCTTTTCCTCCCCAAGCTGCTTTTGGTCATGGTGTTCATCAGAGCAACAGAAACCCGGACAAAGACTTCGGGTGTTAGAACTTGCTCAGAAAGTCAATGAACATGCATTCATTGGCTTGTTGCCCTTGACTTTGTTTTAGTGCTGTCTCATGGAGCCCAGGATGGCTTGGAACTCTATGCAGCCAAAGATGGCCTTAAACTACTTTTTTTTCTGTTTTTTTTTGAGACAGGATTTCTCTGTGTAGCCCTAGCTGTCCTGGAACTCACTTTGTAGACCAGCCTGGCCTCGAACTCATAGAGATCCGCCTGCCTGTGCCTCTCGAGTGCTGGGGTTAAAGGTGTGTGCCACCATGCCCTGCGGCCTTAAACTTCTAATCCTTCTGCCTCTACCTCTCAAGTGCTGAGATTACAGATGTACACACCATACCATGTATGTGGGATCAAACACAGGGCTTTTGTGCCAGCACTCTACAAACTGAGTCAGTCACATATCCCCCCTACTGCTGATCTTGTTTGTATTGGAAGGGTTGTTCACCATTAACAAATTGTGTATGTCAATATACAGGGGCTTATTATCAGTAACTTTTTTATGGTGCTGGGTCAAACAGAGGGTCTTGGGCTCTACTACTGAGCTACATCCCCATACTAAAACTTTCTCATCATGCACAGTGGTATACACCTCTATCCCCAGCACTTTGGAGGCTGAGGCAAGAGGATCAGGAGTTGGAGATAAACCTGGGCTACAGAGCAAGATAATGTTTAAAAGCGAAATGAAGCCGGGCGGTGGTGGCGCACGCCTTTAATCCCAGCACTTGGGAGGCAGAGCCAGGCAGATCTCTGTGAGTTCGAGGCCAGCCTGGGTTACCAAGTGAGTTCCAGGAAAGGCGCAAAGCTACACAGAGAAACCCTGTCTCGAAAAACAAAAAAACAAAAAAAAACAAAAGCGAAATGAAACCCCAGCTGCAATCTCTAGTGCTATAGTATGCATGACAGAACACACGCAATGGAGTTCTCAGGGTCCGCCATAGTTTTCAGAACAGATGCAGTGTCAAGGCCCTGCAGGTGGGTCTTCTGGCTTATTTGTGGCACCCATGGTATGCCTCAGGCCCTGGACCTGGGAGGCTCACCTCGGTCTGGGGACAAATTGGCCTTCTTGGCTGGAGGACTCTGCCGGTCTTTGTCTGATGGCTCATAGCGCTTCCGGCTTCCTTTATCAGCCGCCTGAAACAGCACAGTACTGTGAGGGTGGTAGGGCCTGAGTGGTCGTTAGGCTAGGAAATGGGTGGCGGTGTATCCGTTGTCACCGGCGAATGGTTCTTTGCTCCCATGGTCCTCTTTCTGGCCCTGCTTCCCCCCACCCCTATAAAGCAGTTCTGTGGCCCTTCTAACCACGTGATGGGGCCCTTTGTGCTGCTTAGGGAAGTGCCTTGTAGGACCCCAACCTGTCAGGCCTTGGCCCTTCCAGACAATGGAGCCTTGAAGGCAGAACCCAGGCTTGCCTGCCTGCCATCCCAAGGCTACTGTGTGGGGAGCTAGGCAGGCCACAGGCACATGAACTGGAACTCTGAGGTGCTAACCTTTGGACCTTTCTCAGCTCGGGGGCAGGGTGGAATGCCTAGCACCCAGGTCCAGGTGCAGCAACACTGGCCTGTCCCCTTGATCTCACCTTATTCAGCAGCGTCAGCTTTATCTCCTTGTGGGCAACAAAGGAGCCCTGCTGGGGCTGCCCAGGGGCTGCCTGCTGAGGTGCCGCTGCCTGCTGGGAGGACTTCCCACCTGCTGGAGCTTTGGAGGACTTGGGTGGCTGTGTGGACGGATCCCGTTTCCGCTTTTCCTCTCTCACTCCATCTTCCTTCTTAGATTTCCCTGTCAACAACAAACCCTCAGTCGTGGCTTCCTGTGCACATGGACAGCGAAACAGTCTCTGTTTAAAGTTCACCCCTGAGCCTACACCCCCAGGGCAAGGGCTCTACCTACCTCTCTCCTTCTTGGTCTGGGCAGGGGTGGGGGATCGAGAGCTGGCCGAGGACACAGGACTGGCCAGGTCTGCATACATGTCCTCTGAGTCCACACTGTGCACTGAGCTGCTACTTGAGGTGGCGCTGGACACCGAGGAGACACTGCTCACACTGAGAGACCTAGACACACACACAGCAGTGTCCCTCAGCCCCATGCCGACTGCAAGACGGCTGAGCCACAGGCTGATGGCAGTGGGGGTGGGGGGATGTCTCTATGGCTCATCTTTACCCGATTTCCATGTTTAAGGAACGCACCAACAGAGTAAGAGATCTCAGGGGACTTTCAGAGGTACTATACAATGAAGGGACAGCTATGTCATGAGCTGAGATCTCCACTTCACTAACCTGGGTGACACTATGCTAGGCAGGGAAATGTGACTAAGCCCTATCCAATGGTGATAAGGACACACTTTTAAGTTGATGATGATGCACACAACAGCTACAACCCATAATCCCAGTAACTGGGAAAGTGAGGCAGATCTCTGTGGGTTTCAGGACAGCCAGGGCTCGATAGTGAGACCCTATTTTAAAACACCAAAAGCAGCACAAAAGAGGTGACAACAGCTGGCAGATGTGCTGGAGCCCCCTACAGCCCCAGATTCCTGGGAAAATTGATTAAGCCCAGGAATTCAAGCTCATCTGGGAAACACAGGGAGTCTTCCAACCCAAAACCAAAACCAAACCTCTGGAGCTCAGTGGTAGAGCACTTGAGCAAAATTCAAGGCTCTGGGTTTCACCTTAAGTACCACTATCAAGAAAACTTTGGATGACAGTAAATTAAACAAGCAGTGATAGTTTCACTGTCAGGGACAGTGAACATAGGGCAAAGACTGGGGGTGGGGGGTGGGTGGGATGGAGAGTAGATAGTGATTGAGTTTTGGCACAGTGCAGGGTCACGACAGACCTACAACAAACACCAATCAGCTCTTCCTGAGGTTATCAGAGGCCAGAATAGAGGAACAGAGGCAGGGGGAAAACAGAAGAGTTAAGAATTTCCTAGCTTTAAGTGGAGAGCTGGCTCAGTGGTTAAGAGGACTGGCTGTTCTTCCAGAGGACTCGGGTTCAATTCAAGATTCCAAGAACATCAAGCTGACTCCATCTTCTAAATCCTTTCTGGTCTTAAGGGCTCCTCCCAATCGCCTAGGGATCAGCAGGCCCAGAGAACAGTCTATCCTAGGGAAGGTGTGGACAGAGAACCTGGAACTGGCCTCACTCTGTCCAGCTGGGCTGTACTGGTCTAGTTCTCTTCCCCTAAGGTTAGATGCTCTCGTGTGAAGGGAGGCCATATTCGCTCTGAGCTGGGTGTCCCTTGGACACTGAGGAGCCCCTAACATGGTCGGTGAGGGAAAAAGGTGGGGCCAGGCAACTGACCTGGATCGGGAACTGGAACCACTGTAGCTGCTGCCGCTGCCGCTGCCACTGCCGCTGAGCGTCCGCCTGCAACACAAGTCATAGTGCACCTCAGAGGCAGACCTTGCTGGGACAAAGCCTTCCTGCACACCATGGTCATGGGCCTAAGATGTGTTCCAGGTCGGGCTTCTGCATCCCTGATGCTGCCCTGGTGATGCACCCACCTCCTAGGCTCTAGTTTTCATCAGCGTCTATTCCCTGGCAGCAACAAGGACCAGGAGAACCTTACCAGGATTACCATAAGCCCACATACTCACCTCCTTGGGGGAGTCCTGGTTTGCCGTTCCTTCCTCCTGGCTTCTCGAAGATCTCCCGGTTTGGCAGGCTCAGGGGCAGGAGCAGTAGTTTTGGTGGCCTGTGGTGGGGCTGGGGGTGGGGCTGGCTTCTTTAGTGACTTCTCCCTGTGAGGCAGAGGCAGTGTCAAGGAAGGATAGTGCTGGGGTCCCTGGTCAATGCACCCACATCTCAGGGCTCTGCAGTTCAGACATGGTACTTGGCTGCCAAGGTCCATGCCACAGGGACCCAAGTCTAGGTGCTGAGCCCGTGCCTCCGCCCACCTCCTGGGAGCCTTCTCTGCTGCCCTTTGGAGGCTGCTTCACCTCTAGTCCAAGCATGGGAAGGGAAGAGACAGTGGAAGAGGCTGGAAGCCTTGGAGACCCCACCGAAGTGGAGCACCATAGCGACCCGAGGGGGCTCAGGACTCACCCTGCTTTCCCGGGAGGCGGGGCCGGCTCCCCCTTGGTTCTGACTGGAGGTCTGTGTGGGGAAGGTGTGGGAGACGGGGATGGGGACGAGGAGAAGGACCGGGACCTGGGGAACAAAGAGAGTGTGAGGAGGAAGTCTGGTGCTTGGTAGATTCCCTCACTGGCTGGAGCTGACACATCCCCTAGGAAATGGTTCTGATCCACAGAGAATTTAGGCTCAAGCTCAGCTGCTTCATCATCTGATAAAACACACACCCAGGAGGAAACAGGGAAGGGCAGCGTGCAGCCTCAGGAAGGAGTGGGTGCTTGTGTGCAGGAGTGGGTGCTTGTATGTAGGAGCGGGCACATGGTTCTGCCTTAGCCAGGGACCAAATGGGGTGAAGATGGTTCTGGCTAAGTGTGGGATCTGAGACACCTAGTAGCTGGGAGGTGGCAGAACTGGTAAGGGTCCCAAGCACTTGGTTGGCAGGCAAAGGCACAGGCACAGAGGTCCCTAAGCAGTGACAGCATCACATAAGCAGGGAGTGTACAGCTGGGAGGAGATCATGACCAGATGATTTCCACACAAGTATCGTGTGTCAGCAGGGTAGACAAAGAGCCGGGAATGGGGGCTGGGTCCAGGCGGAGTTTCCAGGATGGCATTCTGACAGTGAGATCACACTTCCGTCAAGAGGATGAAAGGGATTGGGTTGGCCCATGTTGCCTACTCAAAACCATCGCACAGGATGCCCATTACTTCTAGCTGGGTGGTGCAAGCAGTGGGTCAGTTTCCTGCAGTTCTTCATGCTTCCATGTTCAAAGGCAGGTGCCCAGGAAACCTAGCATTCACTCTTGTGGCCTCGCATTTGCTGCCTCACCTCTTGGGTCACTACTATGGGAGAACCTGAAAAAGTGCGACGACCCGAGTGAGGGACCCTCTGAGAGGCATTGGTCTCGTGGCAGTTTACCAGACTCCTCTCCCCTCTCAGTGTACCCTCCTGAGTGCAGCTTTGGGAGGGACTGCTACAGATGAACTTCAGAAATGATAGCTGCTGAGCCCCAAGGCAGGGACTCCACTCCAGGTCTCCTTACTCACTTTAAAGGAGGCTACCCAGACCTTGCAGGTCTCTAGGATAGTGCCAAGGGAGGCTAAGCTACTGAGAAAGGCACAGCTACTGTGGGAAATAGCTAAGAAGTTTATGGTCAATGGTGAGAATATGATGAAGCTTCTGAGCTATTGGTGGGATGGTGGGACATCCCCACCGGCATGTCAGCCACTTCCTGGGTTGACCTGCAAGACCCTCCCATGCCCTGCCTGCTATGTATGGGACCCACTCAACTCTCTGCTGTACTGGATTTACCTGGAAGGATCAGAAACACCTGCAAAGTGAAACCTGGAGTCCTTTCCCTCTCTACCCTGTTCCAGCTGCCTCCTTGACCCAACTGCCCCAACCTTAGGGCATGGGATAGGCACAGAGCTTTTTTTCCTGCTACCCTCTGCTACACTGTCAGCTGCTTGCTCGGAGCAAAGATCCCATATACAACTTTTTCTCCAGAGTCTCATATTTTCTACAGTACCCTACATGACCTTTATCTGTCTCAGAGGCTCCCACAGGTTTTCCCTGTGCTCCCCACCCAGGCCCATGGCCACATCGGTCTGCTGCCCCCGCCCCCTGACTACTGACACTTGCAGAAGAAACCTGCCAATGTTTGGGCTCTGGGGTTTGTGCCAGCACACCTCTGGATGGCCTACACACACCTGCAGAGAAAGGTTACTTTTTTCCCCATCCTGGGTGCTTGCTATTCTGCATTCTACAATGTCCATGAAAATAGGTCCACATGCAATTTACTCCACACCCCACAAAAGCTTTAGTGAGCATCAGATGAGACAGCCTCAGTGACCTTTCAGAACTGTTTTCTAATCCCCTCTATCATCACATCTAGAGCAACACCAGTTGGATGTGGTGGCATACTTCTTTACTCCTAGCACTTGGAAGACAGAGACAGGTGGGAATTTGAGGCCAGCCTGGTCTAATATATAGCAAGTTCCAGGCCAGCTAAGGCTACACAGTGAGACCCTGTCTTCCAAAAGAGAATAAATCTCAAAATTTCCTTTACAAAATAAATAAACAGACAAACAAAGAAGTAAAAGCAAGACCATATGCCAGGAAGGGGTAACACTGCAAGGGACACAGAAGACAGAACATTTTATTCTCACACAGATATCTAGTGATAATATGTCCTAAAGCAGAGGGTTGCGTGTCTTTATGTGCACCAATTAATGACTAGGACTAAAGTACTTCCACCCACATACCCTACCAGCTTTACTGAATGCCATGCCAAAGTTCTGAACCCTCTCAAGAGCTTACGGTGAGGAGGACAGTGCTGGGAGGGTCCACAGCGGAGCATCAGCTCAGTTCAGGGCTGGACCACTGAGCAGTCCCTACCCCTCAAGCCAGCCTGACTTCCACTGGTGGAAGACCAAGTCATCAGGTTCCCATGGGGGCAGGTCAAGCTGGAAGTAGGGTTATGTGCTGGTAGGATTTTGTCTAAAGTTTAGGAAGTATCTATTTTCAAAGGGGAAAGAAAATTCAACAAAAGTTTGTTCGACCCTCCTAGGGCTTTCTAGGATGATGGAAGCACTGCATATTCACACCTGGACTCAACAGAGAGACATCTTATAGATACAGGTCCTATGTCTAGTACCTGCAGTGTATGCTGACTGGCATCCCAGTCCAAACTGCTTCTCAGTGTGTAGTTTACCAAAACCATTTTGGAAGCAGGCACCCAGGAACCCTGCCGTGTTTTACAGGGAGAAACAAGACCACTCGATCTGTCCAGAATGCCTGTCCCCACTGTACCTAGCAGGAGCTCAGGAGGCTGGGACGTACCTGGACCTGCTTCCTGAGAACGAGCTGTGTCTGGAAGAGCGGCTGGAATAGGAGCTGTAGGATGAAGATCGGGACCGGGACCGGGACGAGCCCGAGCCCGAGTACGATGAAGAGCGTGAAGACGACCTGTGGGCCGGTGGACAGAGTAGAGGCAGTGAGAAGGTGACCTTCACTACTACCTGCTGGGGGTGCTGAACCACCCCTCTTTTAGTGCAGTGAGAGACAGCACACACAGAGACAGGAGAACAGTCACAAATGCACAGCGACACAGTGAGGCGGAGGTGATCCTGAGATAACCTACAGACACACTGCAGCACTGTCACCCTACAGTGGAATGTTGGAGAGACCGATACTTGGGGGCCTGGATGTACCCATGGTCACTGGGTAACCTAGAGACTAGTTCGAGTGTTGGACATAGCCATATATGAGTTTTCAAGCTGACCCTACTGTCCACAAACACATACCTCTGGTTCCTATTAGCACCTCAGGTTCCTCCTAGACTCCATCCGGAACTCCTTCTTCAGGCAGGGAGACACAGCTCTTATCACCTACCACTCACTTCCTCATGTGCTCACACTAGAGGTCAGAGCCACTAAGGCAAATTCTCTGAGAAGCTGGGTGGAGTGTGCAGTTCCTCTGTCAGCAACCTAGCACCTTTTCCACAGGATCTGAGAGGCCTCTCCCCTACCTGAGGGAATGTATGTCTCCGGTAGCCAGCCAGAGTAGTGTCTATACCATTCTGGGTCACCCATTCTACTTACTTTTGTATGTTCTGGGGGATGTGAAGTCCTACCAAAATTTCTGTTATTAGTCCCACCTAATATCCCCTTGACCTGTCCTCGGGCAATGACCACACACACACACAGACACACACACACCCCTGGCAGCCAGTGGTCATCAACAAGCCACTTGTCTTTACAGGTCCCCTCTTTACCTGGAGGAATTGGAAGCAGAAGCTGATGAGGCAGAGGTTTTGCGACGCCTTCGTGCCCGGCTTGGGGAGACTGACACACCAAGTTTCTTCTTGGGAGACTTGGATCGGCGCCAAGGGTCCTTCCACTCATCAGCTCGCTTCACCTGTGGCCCCACAGAGGTGGTCTCCTTCTTTGGTGGCTCAGCTTGACGGCTAGAATCACAGAGGGATTCTCAATGCTCAGGCTGCTACCCTTCCCCAGCAATGCTGCTTCAAGAAAGAGATTGGAAAGCCAGCACATTCAGTGAGTTTATTATAGAGATACCTGAAGAAGAGGTAACACAGCACACCTTCTAATCTCAGTTAGTTCCCTCCAGAAATGGTCTTAACCTTAGCGCCATTTTTTTTCCTGTGAGCATCCCCATTTTCTCTTAAGTCTAATAGTAGGTACTTTTAGGGGTGCCATTACTTATTTCTACCTTTCTGACTATATGTCAGACAGGGATGGAGTCCATCTGGTTCAAACATGCTTATTTCTAGTGTTGGCACACAGTAGGTATGCGATATTCATGAAATTAAAGCAACAATCACTGTGTTTTCAAATTCCTGTTAACTAAAAAAGTTACCAACACCATGCTTTAAGCATTTTCTTTACATTTAAAGAGTCTGGTTCAACTGCAGCCAGGGAACTTCTTGATTAATGCATGGAAAGAGTGAGTATCCCAGGCCCTCCTCCCTAACAGTACTGGCCTCAAGTGCTCAGACAGGCCATAGAAAAGGGCATCAAGGAAGGCTGCACTACCACCATGGAAATAAAAACCCTGTCTATTTATACTTCCAGAGCCACTATTTAGTCACCAGCCAGTGGCAGGTACCATTACCATCACCTGCTGAGGGTCCAGGTAAGAGCAATATCCAGTGCTGAAGCCTATCCCACAAGACATGTGAAATGCAGATTGTGCCACTGTTACTTCAGCCCTAACCCCAAAAGCTAATGCCCCAGGTATATAGGTGCTGCCTATAAAGAAATGCAGGAAGGAAGTGAGAACCGAACAACCTGACATAGCAGTTCCCTGTCACTGGCCACTGGGTCAATTTTTATACTTTCTAGATGGTCTCATTCTAAAAACTAAGATGAGGGCTGAAGAGACTGTCCGCAGTCAGAGCACCGGCTGCTCTTCCGGAGGACCTGGGCTCTATTCCCAGCTCCAGTGGCTCACAACTGTCTGTACCTCCAGTTCTAGGGTATTTTTTGACACACTCTTCCGGCTGCTATAGTCACTGCACAAATGTAGTGCACAGACATACATGCAGGCAAAATACCATACACATAAAAAAATACAATTAAGTTCGAGGCCAGCCTGGGCTACCAAGTGAGTCCCAGGAAAGGCGCAAAGCTACACAGAGAAGCCCTGTCTCGAAAAACCAAAAACAAACAAACAAAAAAAAAAACCAATTATAAAACAAAACAAAACAAAAAATCTAAACTAAGAAGAACAGACACCAGGGTCACTAGCCTCTCCACTGGTCATCTGCCCAGTGCAGCCTTTCCATACAGGAAGGAAATGGGAGGAATACCCTGGTAAATGTGGAGTTCCCTCTTTCTTGGATGCAACCAAGTAAGTACTTAAACCTCTCTGCAGGAAGTCCTTCACTACCTCGAGAGATAGACACTGGGTCCCACTGAGAACAGGTAGGTACCTTCAGCAGGTGAAGGACAGTGCTGTGGATGGGCCTTGATCTTCTCATCCCTGTAGGGTGAGCATCTGAACCTAGGCATTCGTAGTACCATCTTCATCTGAGTGGCTGGCTCAAGGCTCTCCAAGGAGGAGGGCTATCCACCATGTCCATGTGTGAGAGGCACATGGTGGCAACAGCATGCCGAATTTTGTTACTATAGACACCCAACTTTAGACGTTATTACTCCAGTGATTCTGTGAAGCACATGATCTGGTATGTGTTTTATAGCAATGATGCAAAACTTCCTTTAAAAGGTATTTAAGAGGTTAGAGATATAGCTTAGTGGTAGAGTGCTTTCTTCCTAGCATGTGTGTACCATGAGTTCAATCACCAAAAAAGAAAAAAAAGATATCGGAAGTTTAAAAAGCCAAAGTATGCAGGTAAGTAATAGGCGGTAATCTGGACTACAAGTATGGGGAAGGATGGGGTGGGGTGTGGGCTCTGATCCTCAGTCAGGGCTACAAATAATCAAGGTCAAATAAGAGGCTATGTGGATGAAACCATGGGAAATGCTAATGGCTTAAGCCCCATATTTAGAGGTAGGTCTTTCAGAGGAAAGACTGGATGAATCATCACTAAAGAATCCATTACCAAATTCACCCAACAAAAAAGTTCATGTAACATTCAGAGGAAAAGGCTGCAAGACTGACCTGTCCACCACTGCCATCAAGATTGGCGACAGAGAACATCTAGACTACCAAGCTCCTGCATCAAGGTGTCAAGCTTTTGAGCTGATAGGCTAACACCACCCAGCTGCCACACGAGTTGTGCTCTGAGTGATGACGGTCCACACTTGGGAGTCTGCAGGAATGACAAAGGCTGTATCTTTGCTTCCCAAGACACCCTGAGAAAACCATGTTGAACTCCCCTCTTAGTGGGGGATAACCACCCAGATATCCCATCAGACCTAGAAAGCAGGGCAGAACACAAAACCACAGGAGGCTACACCTCTCCACAGGTGCCCCAAAGCCCACTCACTGAGTGTGGCCTGTTTCAGGGCTGTAGTATGTGCCAAAGAGGGGAATGCTGGTCAGGAACTACAGCAGGAACCTGCTGGACAAGGACAAACTTGCCATTCACAGATATTTCTAAAGAGGAAAAGAAATAACGGCACAGGTGATCTCTGGTCTTGACCTTCGGGCAGCTGCAGGCACCCTCCTATCTCCCTGCAGCACAACTGCACATTCAAGGCTACCGGAACCTCCGCGGGGCAAGGGTCAGCTGCACCGCCCCAGTCAATGCTGAGGCCGGCAGCAAACGGCCAAGAATGGCACAAGGAAGTAAACTGCTGATGAGCAAAGTAGCTACCCCATGTGTCTGGGGACTCCAACCTGGACAGCTGCCAAGTCTGGGGTCAAAGAATAAAGAGCAATAGATGGAAAGTCACTTCTAAAATGAGGAGGACTAAACATCTAATAAAGACAGGAAGAGGGAACTCACAGCATCTGGGTTCTTCCCTTCATTTTTCCCTCCTACCTCAATCTGCCAACACCCGAGGGACATGCACTTTGGCTTATCTCCCAGGAAACTGTACAGATTTCCCCAGGGCTGCCCCATCTGGTCACACTGCATACACATCTCAGATGTGGGCGGTACCCACCGCATCTCTTTATGTCCACTTATCATGTGAGTAGCTAATGGTTTCCACCACACGTGGATGACTTCTACTGGCTAAAAAAACTCTCAACTCAATAACTGCTTCTTTCCTCTGGAAGGTCCCTGGAAGAGCGAGTCCTAGGTATTCTCCATCCTGGTTTACCATTACTTCTTATGGTATGGCCCTCATCCCAAAGTTCACACTTGCTGTCTGGTCCTCTTTTCTAGCCCCACATATATAACACCAGACACCAGGGATCTAAGTATTTCTTACTGACATTTCTCCACCCTGTGTCCTAAAGACACAGAAGGACAACACATGCCAGCTGAATGAGACATCAACAAAACCCAGAGCAGGTAGGGCATGGTAGCACATGCCTTAATCCCAGCACTCTGGAGGCAGAGGCAGACAGATCAAGGCCAGCCTGGTTTACATACCTAGTTCCAGGACAGCCAGAACCACACAGTGAGACACTATAAAAATACAAGAGCAAAATCCTGTCCTGTAGCTCGAATTACTGACCAACTGACCAAACCAGAAGGCCCAAGTCCAGTCCTGAACTGCAAGTGCTGGACTGGAGCAAGACTTTCCCACAATCTACCACTTTGACTCAGAATCAGAAAAGGTATTTGACGATACTCATAAACCAGTGAACCCAGAGACACAGAACTGGTAACAAATGACAGCAAAGGTAATGCAGCCCCAGATCATGCGTTCTGGGATGGGTGGAAAGAACGACAAAAGCAGCTGGGCACAGTAGCACAGGCCTGGAATCGCACCAGTTTTACAACCGAGATAGGAAGGATCCTAAGTTCAAGGCGGGGAGCTCAACAGATCAAAACAACACGACAAAGTCTTTGTATTGTTTCAGGGGTCGGTAAGCCTACCTAAAATGCATCTGGACGTTTACAATGTTATCCACACTGCCTTTGACTCTTCATCCCATTCTCCACTCCCACCCCACTGCCTTGCAGAGAATGCAGAAGGGACAGACCCAGCCTGATGGGACAGCACCATGGAGAAAGTGGCTTGTTTGGAAAACTGTCTGTCAGGCCCTCCACCAGCTACTAGATGACGCAGCAGCTCCTCCCATAGGTAACCAAGAAGGAAAAATCCACATTCACACACAAAAGTGCACACAAATGTTCACACCTACAACTGTCAAACAGTGCCAACAACCCAGGCAGCGGTGGCGCACGCCTTTAATCCTAGCACTCGGGAGGCAGAGCCAGGTGGATCTCTGCGAGTTCGAGGCCAGCCTGGTCTACAGAGCAAGATCCAGGACAGGCACCAAGACTACATAGAGAAACCCTGTCTCGGAAAAAACAAAAAGTAAAAACAAAAACAAAAAGTTTCAACAACCCAATGTCCACCAACAGACAGACAAGAAAAGCAACTGAGGCACAGCCGTAGTGCTTTCTGCAAATACAATTTAAGAGAAAAAAACCATACATACGGCTCTACAACCACACCAAGTCCTAAACAGGCAGGCTGTTTCACGGAAGCAAGGAGCTGTTGCTTCAAGAGCTTAGAAGAGGCCACAGGGCAAGACATGCTGATAGATGGGAACTTGGGTGGTCTACCTTGGTGGCTGTGGGGACCGGGGCTTCGGCTTCTCCTTGTCCTTCTCCCGGTCTTTGTCCCGGTCACGGTCTCGGTGCTGCCGGTCCTTCTCATCTCGCTTGGCTCGCTCTCTCTCCCACTCCTCTTTCCTCCTCTGCCGCTCCTTGTCCCGCTCACGCTCCCGTTCTCGCTCGCGCTCCCTCTGCCTTCGCTCACGCTCTCGGTCGCGCTCCCGTTCCCGCTCCCGTTCTCGTTGTCTGTTCTCGCGCTCCCGTTCCCTCTCCCGTTCCTGGGTTAAAAAGCCAAATATAGATGCCCAATTACACACTATTTGGTAGAAGTGCAGAGAAAACAGGGAGCAGATGCTCTCAGGAGGCCACTTTATTCCCAAGTGTCTCCTTAAGACAACTTAGCTGTGTCTGACAGCAAAGGCCGGCAACTAGGAGACGAAGGCAGGAGGATCTCAAATTCACAGCAAGCCTGGGTCAAGTGAGAGCCAATCTGAAAGCCACAGACCTAGTATGTCCAAAGGTTTGATTCCCAGTACCACATAATACACAGACAGACACACAGACACACAGACACACAGACACACACACACACGATAATATATGTTAAAAAAAACAGGAATGCATACAATTTAAGAGTGAAGTTACCCCAACCAAATAAATACAGAACTTTGTCAATACCAGCCTGGTATGAACTCTATACCACAGGCCCTCCCATGGGTGACCAGCTCATTCTTAGGATGGAAGTCTCAATGGCTGCCCATGTGGGCAAGCCCACACCACAGTGCTTCATGAACACTGTATTGAAGGAAGTGTGTGCACCTCTAGTGCACTCCCCCGCTGCTGACTTGTTCTCCTGCTTTAATAGTCAACATTCAAACAGTTCAGACACAGCCCGGCTGACGGGCTCTGGGCCTTTGCGACCTTAGGAGACACCATGCGCACTCCATGCCATTCCTGCCACCTGTGTCGCTGGATACACCAGAGAACAAGTACCTGCACCCTGTATCCTACCTCCAAGAGGAAGCTGTAAGGTGGCAGTTCTGGGATAGGTGTGGGTCTGTACAGCTCACTACCTATGGGCTGCTGGGGCTGCCACGAGTCACAGCACACAACTGCTCAAGGGCTCCTAATAAGCCTTTCCTAAAGCAGACTTTCTAAGCAGGCTGACAGTGAAGAGGGAACGGGCAGTCTGGCTTTCAGATCTTTATACACACTAGGTTCTTGGGAGTCTTCACCAGACCAGTATGGCAAGGCCAGCCAGAGGCACATCCTTAACCAGCAGGCTAGATGGACAAGAATGGTGCTACACATAAGGACATTATTCAGAGATTTCCAAGAGTGACATACTCACAAAGGTGACAGTCTCCTGAAAACCAGCATTGATGCCTTACGAGTAAATCTTACAAAACCATGGCAAAAACAATAATTCCACGAAAGGCCACCAGACACGAGACTATCACAAACACAGCCAGTGGCTCCCTACATGACCAATGTGGGCTCAAATTCAGGACTGTGGCTCAATACATTTTGTTAACTGAATAAGCTCAAAGGAAACATACCACAGGAAGGGTTGACTGATGCCAGGTAAGGAAGTACACACCATTGTATGGCTGAGGCAGGAGGATTATGAATTTGAGGCTAGCCTAAGGTACATAGTTAGACCCCATCTATGGGAAGAGGAGAGTTTTAACATGTGGATCATACTTACGCGATAGTTATGATACGGCTCTGCTTCTGTATACTGCACCCTGAAATTCTCGTACTGTCCACCACGCCAAAAACGCTCTATCTCATAGTCATAATAAGGATCTGCATAAGGCTCAAGTCTGAAAAAAGAGCCAAAAGGAAGGAAATCGTATCATTTAAGAATGCTACAGCAAAAATTCTACATAAAAGACAAGCTAACAGACTCCAACCCCATGTGATGAAAATAATACACCGTGACCAAGTGACCAGCTAAGAACACAAGGCTGACGTCAGCATTAGGACATCCACTACCACTGCACATGTCAGTCACTGGGGAGGAAAAGCCCTGGGACTATCCACGAGGGAAGACAAAGACAAACCTCCTGTATGCATTTCCGGAGAAAACACTCAACAAAATAGGAACTTGTATTTTCTAATGAGACAGAAACATAGTCTTAAAAGCACTTTAAGGACCTCAGATGGCTCAGATGGTGAAATACTTGCTGCACAGCCTGATGATTTTCAAGTTTGGTCCAGGGAAACCATAAACATTAATTCCACAAAGCTGTCCTCTGACCCCCCACACATGTGTTATGGCACTCTTGCCCACACACCATGTATCACTGCATATATACATACAAAATAACAACAGCAGCAGCAGCAGCAACAACAACAAAAACAGCAGCAGCAGCACCTTTAAAACCAAAGCTGGAGAGAAGCATCGAGGAGTTCCCTGAGCATTAGGGTACCGTGAGACCTATGACCACCTGCCAGTGTGTGCAGGCACTGATGGCAAGATTGGCAAGATGAGCCCAGAGAGGTGCGAACACAGTGAAACTGTCTCCATTTGCCATCCTGTGACACTACACCTTAACAGTCCATGACAGAGCCAATTCACACAACCATCCACCCACTCACCTCAATAAAGCAGAACAAGAGCTTAACATGGAAACCTATGTCCTCACATATAGCTCGCCAGCTAATGAGGAGGCAGTATGCATTTACAACAGCAGAGGGAAGGTGCTTGGGAATGACACATATTCAACCAGAAATGCAGATCTCACTCCAGAAAGTCACAAAGAGGCAACTAATTGAGAAGACATGACAGGGTGCTCCTTATCACCATGCTGGTTCATCCTCCATTGGGACATAAGCATATCCCAAGTAAAAACCAACGAGCACATTCATGGGCTAGATGGTTACGCCGTCAGCCTGGTTCACGTGAGAAGGAGACATAAGCCCAGCCAAGGGAACTCCACAACAGAGAAGACACCCTCTGAAGCACGCCAACACCTGAAAGAGCTCCACAATCCTATGTGCTTCATTTAGTGCAGGGGGACAGCAGGCCCGGGGACACAAACTAAGGTGGCATCTCTCAGTGTCCCAGTGAACAATGTGGATACCTGGCTACTCTCACTTCAAAACCCTGCCACTGTACTGGTGAGATAGTTTACAAACCAGGGGACGTATGCAATTAATTAAAAGTAGAATAACTGTAACAATGTAACTAAAGTCACCAAAATTGATAAGCTGCTTACTTTTAGAATTCTCATTCAGTATTTCTGAACTTGGTGAGCCAAACCACAGACTGCAAAGCTATGCCATATACCAAAATTTACCTCTTCATCCTCCCGGTGGATTTCCATCTGGGCACGCACAGACCCAGTACCTGCCCTACTCAACGTAGTCCTCAGAACCACGTAACTCCTCTGTTGAGGGGGTTTTGCTCCTTTTTTTGAGACAGGATTTCTCTATGTAACCTTAGCTGTCCTGGAACTCTCTCTGTAGACCAGGCTGGCCTCAAACTCAAGAGATCCCCCTGCCTCTGCCTCCCTAGTGCTGGGATTAAAGGTGTGTGCCACCACTCCCAGTTCTGTTGAGATTTTTAAAAGACCAGCATTAAATGTCTGAGGAGGGGACTGAAGAGGTAGCTCAGTGAGTGGTTAAGAGCACTTGTTTGCTGCTCTTCCAGGACATGAGTTTGGTTCTCAATTCTCATGTTGGGCAGCTCACAACAGCCTGTAACTCCAGCTCTAGACCCAATGCCCTCTTTTGGCCCCATGGATACATACACACATACACATGTATCTTTAAAAAAAACAAAAACAAAAACAAAACCAAAAACCTCATTCCCCAAGTAACTGACGAAGAGGTGAGGAGACAAAGGCATAGACTGAGCCTGTAGGAACTTTGGGAGTGCACCCCAGAGGTAGCCTTCCAGCATGGAACTTAAGCATCTCCTCCACAGAAGCCAGAGTGGTGGAGACCATACCCTCGGGACTTGTGTGTGGCTACTCCTGATAGGACATGAATGGGCCAGGGCAAGCAGAGGGTTCCTTACGTTGTGTCTCTGACATCTCTTGGGACCCTAGAATTCCAATCTCGGAAGACTTCGTTTTCCTTGTCAAACTCCCGGTCGTCTTCACCAATGGTCACTGTGAGCCTTTTCTCTTCAAAGTCAGGCTCCTGCTCTTTCCGAATGGTTGCTTTTTTTAAAACCTAGCACCGAAAGAAGATAGACATCAGTGTGAAATACAGACCTCCAAAGTCACTGAGAGGGACACAGGGAACCTGAGACCTGCAGCAAAGTACAGCACCAGTGCCCAAGGGTACGGGCAAACACAGGACTCCAGTCTTCTCCTGCAGGCCTCAGAGGAGGCTGGTCTAAACAGGTCTGCGTGACTTATCTACACAAGTGAGCATCTGGGACTAGCACAGGGACCCCAGAGGGCATGTAAGCAAGGCCTTTATTTCAATCTCCCTCAAGAGAGAACAACTTGGACACTGAGAAAATAAGGTTGGGTGTTAACAGACACTGATACAAGGTGGGTATTGGGAGCCACAGTGGGCAGCAAAAGGAGGCCTGAGAGAGCTAGTAAGAGCAGACACTGGGTCTCAGGGGGACAGAGAGGAGGCCCTACAGAATGGCAGGGACTGTCTTGCTGCCTGGGGTAACGGTCAGAGACAATTCATCTTTTGGGTTGCCCATGACACCTAAAAATGTTGTCTGTGTCCAGGGAGGTTCTCTGGCCTACTAAGATTTACCTGTGACTGGACCTGCCATGCAGAGATGGCTAAATATTACTTCTCCTTCTCTATTAAAGGAAGCCCAGAAATGTTCATAGCTTCTGAGGCCTCACTGAGTTTCCATACTCTCTGGATCAAAGCTATGCCAGTCCTGCCAGGACCACTAGAGGGACCACCACTGTGCTCTCCCTCCCAGAGTGTACTGAACTCTTACCTCCTTTGCGTGTCTGAGTCCGCGTTCCCAGGCACTCTCTGTTGGGGGTTCTGGAGGGGGTGGAGGCAAAATTTCATCAACTACTGGCCCACCCTATTAAAAAATAAGAAGAGAAACACTGAGGAAGTACTTAAAAACCTATTAAGAAATAGGGCAAAACACTTAAAAGACAAGCCAGCCAGCCACACACACCTGGCTTTCCTGCCCAATCACCCACATGCCCTGAAACATCCAAGGCTACCTCTACACAAGCACAAGGAACCCTGAAAGGTGCTCCTTGACTCTCAGGTACAAGATGCCTTTTCTATAAGGACCACATTTGTCTTCAGCCCAAGATTCAGACAGAACTCAGGGATCCCATCTGGTGGCAAAAAAAGAGGAGCTCACGCACCCAAGGGTTGGCAGGCATCAATGGGTGAGGTCCAAGAGGCGGGGCACCGTTGGGTGGAAAAGGTTCAGCTTTGGTGATGAGGGAATAGTTCCCCTTGTCATTCACTCCAGGGTGTATAAACCTACAGTTCATTCCCCAGGTGCAGTTCCCTAGGGAAACAAAAGTCCAGTGAGAAAAGATGCCAAGAGCACAACTGTTGGAGGGCGGCAGCTGGGGTGCTTACTGACAATTTGGGAAGCACCCATCAACCCATTTCTGCTCCCACAGGTCACTGGGCCTCCGCCCAGAGAGTCTGAGGCCAATAACAGCCTAGCCTACCTCTCCTGCTGTGGACACAGGTGTTCCACAGTCCTACAGAGGTGAGCAGGGCAGGTCTGAACCAATGGGTCAAGCCAGGTACTTCCATGAGATACCATTCCCTTGATGAGAGTCCCTGCTTGGACTCCCAGGGTCTATTCACAGTCACTTTGCAGGTTCTATATCCATGGATTCACCACCCAGATACAAAATATTCTTTGTGTTGCACTGAACATGTGGAGACACTGTAGAGACATTTTTGTGTTTCTACTCCTTAAACAATACAGTATAAAAAGGACTTATTTACACTGTGTCCAGGATTGTAAGTCACCTAAAGAGGGCTTAAATTACAGGAGGGTATATATTACACTATCTTGTAATAGGGACTTGGATAGCCTCAGATCTGGCATCCATGGACATTCTGGATCCAATCTCCCATGGATACTACAGGACAGCTGGGCACATCAATTATCTGAGCACTGATTAAAGCAGAGAAGCCAGAGAGTCTCTAGAGCTAAGGGCAGAGGCAACACTAGGGCCTGTAGGGAGCTTCAGCAGGTACCTGGACATTTATTTTGACTGTGCCGAGGTAGAAATCAAGGGGAGGCACAAATATTACCAGATCTCTGTTAACTTTGTCCCAGGGTAGCCCTCTCCAAACCATTCAGGATTATTTCTGATCCTTAAAAAATGTGTGAATAAGAGGGTCCTGGAGAGATGGCTCAGGGGTTAAGAGCACCAGCTGCTCTTCCAAAGGACCTGGGTTCAATTCCCAGCACCCACAGGGCAGGTCACAACTGTCTGTAACCCTAGTTCCAGAGGATCTGACACCTTCACAGATACACAGCTGAACACCAATGCAGGTAAAATAAAAATAAATAAATCACTTAAAACAAACAAAAATATGTGATAAATTAAGCTACTTAAACTTATCAAATCAACCAAAATACAATTGAGCTTTTACACTTTGCTCATCAATAATCAGCTAAACCCCAGCACTACTAAAGGGAGCCACCCAATTTTTCAGTGCAAAATGCTAAGTGTCTCAGATGTACAAAGCATCACCAAAAAAAAAAAGGTCCTATGTACACACTATTAGAAACATCTAACATTTAAACACACTTCCTAGTTTAATACATATTATCTGTTCTTTTTTTTTTTTTTTTTTTTTTTTTTTGGTTTTCTCTGTGTAGTTTTTGGTGCCTGTCCTAGATCTCTCTCTGTAGACCAGGCTGGCCTCGAACTCACAGAGATTCACCTGGCTCTGCCTCCTGTGTGCCATCACTGCCTGGCTTAACACATATAATCTTAAATAATTAAAAGCTATATTCAATTTGAAACAGATATTCCAGTTGAACATTTTTGCTAACAAATCATGTTTGCTAACAAATCATGAAACAAGGCAAGTTTCATCTTTAAATACCATGACTACTGAAGTCTGAGTTAAAAACAACTCAACACAAAGTAAGAACATATTGATATAAAGCACAAAATATACTCAATATTGTTTCCCTGCAGACACAAAAATGGTATTTTTTTTCATTCCTAAAACTATTTAAGGATTCACATGTAAGTTAAATGAGGTTGGAAGCCTCACTGTACAGGGATCTGAACCTCTGAGCCCTGGAAGACAGACAAACACCATCCACTTCTTCATGATCAACTCTCTACATCATGACTTCTCAACTTTGTTTATATAATTAAAATGTAACAAAAGGGGGACTGGAGAGATGGCTCAGTGGTTAAGAGCACTGGCTGCTCTTTCAGAGGTCCTGAGTTCAATTCCCAGCAACCACATGGTGGCTCACAACCATCTGTAATGAGATCTGGTGCCCTCTTCTGGCATGCAGGCATACATACATGCAGGCAGGACACCATATACATAATAAATAAATCTTTAAAAAAAAGTAACAAAAGCTCATTATAGCAAGTTAGAAAATACAAAAAAGTATCTAGTATATGATTTATACTTAAAATATATTTCAGTTAGTAGGTAAGTAGGCATTTAGTATTTGTTTTAAATGTCAAAACAAAACAAAAGGAAAATCTAAATAAAACCCAACCCAAATCTCACATTCAAATCTTTGGGCAGAAAGAAGAATAGAATACATGCACCGGAGGGAGAAACAAACAACAGAGGAAAAGTAAGGAGGATTTGCAGAGTGTCATCCCTGACAAAGTGTCAGGATGACAGAACCCAGCTCTGAGGGAGCAAAGTTAGGTCCCTGCTGATAGTGTTCTTAACCCTTGACCTCAAGAACAGCCATCCCAATATATAGCCAAAGCAGATATCCTGTAAATGCTGGACAAATGATGGAGTGCAGGAACCCCATTTATACAGGCAAACTCCCTTTCATGGGGGTGAGGCACATAGACTATTATTGCTGGGACTGTGGAGAAATGCCTTCAAGGTACACCATCCTCACCTGGTGCATGGAACTCAGGGCCTGGTACATACTAGGGAAGTATATTATTGTTGAGCTACATCCCTAACCCCTAGCTTTTACTTGGTCTACTGTCAGTAAATATTATTTCCATAATTTAAAAAAAAGGAAGAAAAATAAAAAGGAAACATGCCAGTGTGATGGTTTAGCAGGTTAAGTGCCCTGTCTACCCATCCTGATCACCTGAGTTTGATCCCCATAGCCCACTCCTATCGACTGTCCTGAGCTCCACATACATACGTACTTTGCCCCCTACAAACTTAATTTCTTAATTAGAAATAAATGAAATGGAAGAAAAAATAAAGGCATTTTAGAATAGTATGATCATCTGCTTCTGAGTGTGCTAAGAAACAGGAGGGTGGAGACCCAGAGGCTAAGTGGGTCAGTGTTACTTGTGGATTTTTTGTTTTGAGACAGGTTTTCACTATGTTGCCTTGGCTGGTTTGGAACTCACTGTGTGTAGACAAGGCTGGCCTCAAACTCAGAGAGATGCACCTGCTTCTGCTGCTTAGTGCTGATATAAAAGGTGCAGGCAACCCACACCCAGCTATTTCTGGATTTCAGAGGGCTATCTGCACATGGGTTTTCAAAGGAAAGAAATGATCTTTTTCTTAACTACATGGCTCATATCTCAGCAATTCTTGAGAAAAATTTTTTTTATTAATTTTTATGCTTGGGTAGATACTATTTAACATGAGAAATACTTTATAGGAAAACAAAATAAAAGTGGGAATATATGTAAATAAAGAGTATGTTCTCTAAAGAGCATACAGTAGAGTGGGGTATGACAGTGCAGACCTTTGATTCCAGCACTCAAGAGTGGCACATTCCAGCCTGGGCTACACACTATCCTGTCTCTCCTATCTTATACCTCCAGAACCTCCTGCCAGAAGTAGTTACCAACTTAGGGGTGATCATGTAATCAACAAACATACATCCCTTTTGTTTTTTTAAGATTATTTATTATGTATACAGCGTTCTGCCTACATGTATGTCTGCAGGCCAGAAGAGGGCACCAGATTGCATTATAGACGGTTGTGACAAACCATGTGGGTGCTGGGAATTGAACTCAGGACCTTTGGAAGAGCAGCCATGCTCTTAACCGCTGAGTCATCTCTCCAGCCCTTGTTTTGTTTTTTGGTTTTTTTTTTTTGAGACAAGGTTTCTCTGTGTAGCCCTGGTGGTCCTGGAACTCACTTTGTAGATCAGGCTGGCTTCAAACTCAGAGATTCACCTGCCTCTGCCTCCTTGAGTACTGGGATTAAAGGTGTGTGCCACCACCACACTGTTTTACAATTCCATTTTTTGTGAATATATTGTACACTCTGGGGTGATCTTTGCCACTGCTGTCCCCAAACAAATTAAGAAGAAAAAATAAACCTGTGTGATTAATAGCAACAGATCTAAAATTGCATCAGTAATACTGATACATGACCATGGCAGGTCTCTTAGCAGCAATCAAGGAAGCTAAACAGATGGCAGGAGGCGGCTGCCCCCTCACCTGCTGGCTATAGTCCCCATGTCTAATGGCCAAAATCCATCTCCGCTAACATGTGCAGATGCCAACAAGAGACTGTGGCTGTGTGCAAATGCATGTGTTTGTTAGGTCCAGAAATGAGCAGACTTTTAAGCCTATGATTTGTTGGCTGGATTGGTTATCATCAGTTGCATGATCACTACTACAGGCAAAACACCTGTCAGAACAGCAAAGAGAATTTTATAATGTCCACTTTTCAAACAAAACATTTGTTTCAGTCTAGAGCACACACTCTGACAAAGTGGCCTCTTTAAGTATGCTCTGGTTTCCTTTCCAGCTCAGCTAGTCTAAGCAGCTGCAAACAGGTAAGAAAGATAGCCTGTGTATAAAAGTCAAAGTGCTCCACTGGTTTAAAAAACCTTCTTGAAGCCAGGGAGTGGTGGCGCACACCTTGAATCCCAGCACTTAGGAGGCAGAGGCAGGTGGATCTCTATGAGTTCAAGGCCAGCCTGGTCTACACAGTCTGTTCCAGGACAGTCAGAGGTACACAAAGAAACCCTGTCTCGAAAAATCAAAAACAAAAACCAACAACAACATAAAATAATAGTAACAACAAAACACTACCAAAACCCAAACCAAACCTGTCAAAGCCAGGCATGGTGGTGCATACCTTTAACCCAGCACCTGGGGGTGTAGGTGTGACAGAGTCAGATAGATATATGTGAGTTTGAGGTCAGCCTGGTCTACATAGTAAGACTGTCTCAAAAACAACACAGTAACAAGAAATCCCTGTCGAAATGTCAGTTATGTCTTACTGACACAGGCAAGGCTGGCCTTTGCATATGCATACTCCCAGTAGGAGTACCTCACTTACCACTAGTTGTACGTTACTATGAAAACTGCCCTAATTTCAGAGTCCCTGAATGGGGAC